ACACACACACACACACACACACACACACACACACAGAACAAGGTCCCTTTGGAATTTTGGAGCTACAGGTAGATGAGGCAAGGAGAAAATTGTTTAATCAAAGAAAAAAAATAGGCATTGCTAGATTTTTGGGCCACAGAAAGACCCACTGGAGAAGAGCCTAATGCTGGGAGAGATTGAGGGCAAAAGAAGAAGGGAATGACAGAATAAGGTGGCTGGATGGAGTCACTGAAGCAGTAGGCGTGATCTTAAATGGACTCCAGAGGATGGTAGAGGACAGGAAGGCTTGGAGGAACATTGTCATTTGGGGTCACAATGGGTCAGACACGACTTCTCAACTAACAACAGATTCACATTTTTTCTGCAACTCCAAATTTTTATTAACTGAAATGGCACGATATATATGCCCTAAGCTTTAAAAAAGGAGTGGTGCAATTCTTGTGGCTTTTATACAGCTTTAAAATATCTTGTGAAGTCTAAGACAAGGTTTATTCCTCCTTTAATTCACTCACTCCAAATGACCTCCTTTTTGACATATAAGAACACATGAAAAAGTTTTGTGTTGGACTGTTGCTGTAAACATCATCTAAAATGAGAGAAATACCAATAATCTAATATTAGAAATTTTCTTTTGATTATTTGCACTTGCCATTATTGTCTCTAATGTTTGTATGTTGTCTTTCTAGCCTCCCTCGTTGGCAGGATTGTCATGAACTCTGGAGTAAGAAACGCCGACGGCAACGACAAAGTGGGATTGCAGTGGAGGAACCTCCCCTGGCAAAGGTTTCCCGGAAGGACACCGCCTCTGCAATAAGCACTGAAGCTACCAAGAATCATAGCAGTCCAGTACCCCCGCAGCCTGCTCAGATCAAAACGCAACCTGGTGCTGGAGACTCATTTGGTTAGTGTGTAACCTAGGAAAATCCTTCAAGGTTTAATTAATTGGCAGGATTTTTTGCTTTCTTAAATGCTTGGAAATTCAAATCATAAGTAATAATTTTGAAAAGGGTTATGCATCATAGCATGAAAAATGTAATCCTATTGCAAATCCTATTTATATATTTATATCGCATCATCAATTAATTTGTTCTGAGATAGCTCTCAAGGAAACCTACCATAAAAACTGGTATAATAATATTTTATTATATCTTTATTAAAGATAACTTAATAATAGCTTAAAGATATAATAATATTATTAATATGTTTAATTAAAACAGGAGGGAAATTGAATAGATCCTTCCAAATCTATTTGGGGGGGAATTTTATGAAGTGGACAATTTCCAAACTGCCTTTTATTTAGAATAGTGATATATCCTTTTTTTAAAAACACATATGCATATTAATAATATATTCTTTATAGCCAATTTTGATTAGAAATTTCTTAGCTTTATTCCACCTTAATTGAAGTTTCTGGGTAGTTTTTGGAAATTTATACAATAATAATCATTTATTAAACTGGTAGTGTAGGCCAGCTACCAGTAGTTGTCAATGACCTTGGGTACTTCACAACAATCAAACTATAATAAAATTAATAAAAGAGAAATGATAATGATAAAAGATGGCAAGCACAATGAACCAAGGGATCAGACTCTATTGCCAAAGGCCTGGATAAAGAGCCAGTAAATTTGCTGGACTTCAGTTTAGCAGTCTTGATGGAAATCTCTTTACCATTTTACATGTGATAAATTCCTATTCATGTATGCGAATAATAAATAATATACATATAGTGCATCATGTACATACTATTCAGTCAATAGTATGTGTTTTCAGACAGGGTTTACTTGTGCCTGTTCAGAACGAAGTCTCTCCTCTAATATGTTTTTATTAAACATTTCTAATAAATGTTTTTGGGGAGTGCTGTGGCTCTGTGGTTAAAAATGCTGAGCTTGTCAGCTGGAAAACTGGCAGCCCAGCTTTGAGACCTAAGTGCTGTGCAATGGGGTGGCTTCCCTTACTTGCTACAGCTCCTCCCACTTAGCAGTTTCAAAGCATGCAAATGCAAGTAGATAAACAGGTACCATTATTGGTACCTATTTATAGTGGGAAGGTAACTGTTCTCTGTCCATTGGTGTATAGTGACATTGGCCACCTGGCCATGGAAATGTCTTTGGACAACGCTGGCTTGGTCAGCCAAGAAACAGAGGAACACTGCCCCCCAACATCAGATGCAACTGGATAGGGGAAACCTTTACCTTTTACCTTTACCTTATTAGACATTTCAGATAAATATATAAACAAAGAAGGGAAAAAACAAAGGGGGCCAAAAATAAGCAAGGGATTTACAAATGATTTAGGGATGATAATCTTCCAGAATATGTCTATGGAGATTTTCAGTCATCCAGGTAATGTTGTCCCAAAGATGTTTTTTTCAAGAGGCAACTGGACTTTCTGGTTTTTCTTTGAAGACATTTCGCTTCTCATCCAAGAAGTTTCTTTAGGTCTGGCTGGATGATGGGGAATGGAAGGCTTTTTATACTCTTTGCAGACAGCTGGTCATTTGCATACTTTTAGCGGGTCATTAAGGTCACTTGTGTCATTAGCAGTTCATTAAGGTTTATCTGTGTCATCAGGGTCACCTGAGTGGTGCAATTGGGTATGGAGCCTTCCTGGAACTGTTGAAAGGACTGTGTTGTAGATTGGAGATGATGCTGTATCCCTCCCCCTCTGTTGAGAGAGGACCGTTAAATTTTGACATAGATGGCCTCTTTAACCCCTCTTTCAAACCAGCGAAACTCTCTGTGCAAAATATGGACATCAAAAGAGTGGCCTGTATCTTTTAAATGATGGACGACTGAATCTAACTCCAGGTGATCTTAACAACCCACTTATAAGCATTCAAATGATCAGCTGTCTGCAAGAGTATAAATCAGGGCTAGTCAACCTTTTTGTACCTACCGCCCACTTTTGTATCTCTGTTAGTAAAATTTTCTAACCCTCTACCGCTTCCAAAGTAATGGTGATTTATAAAGTAGCGAAGTAACTTTACTTTATAAAATTTATAAAGCAGAGTTACAGCAAACCCCTACCGCCCACCATGAAAGCTGGAACGCCCACTAGTGGGCGGTAGGGACCAGGTTGACTACCACTGGTATAAATCCTTCCAGTCAGAGCTGAAGAAGCTTCTTGGATGAGAAGCAAAAT